TATTTCAAAATTGAAGTTATAATATGACAAATATTCAGTGGACAAAGTTTGAACAAAAATCTATTGTCACTTTTATTTCAGAGGAATTACCTTAACTGATGAAATGCACACATTCTATTGTCACTAAAATGATGTACAATAAAACACCAAGTGTTCGCGGTGTAAGTGTCATCTATCTGAGATAGTGTACCGCGGCGAGTCTAACGCACCCGTGAGGGATTGGCACTGTAAGACAAAGGCGTCTTTCCCAAGAACACAGTAACCTTCCCCCCGCCCCCGGGCCAGGGCTCCAGCCCAGACCTCTTGATCTGGAATTCTATTCCATGCGTCACCGACCTGTTTTAAGAGTTTTCTGCTTCTTTTGATTTTCTTCAGAACTGGTTTAAGAACAGACGTGTTAAATGGCGCAAAGAAAAGCCGGAGACTGAGACGACTTCTGTTTCCATCCCTCCCACTATTGGTCCCTATCACTTGCATTATCCAAGCATCAGATTGATAAATAGTGATGCCCGGATGCGGTTTGGTACTGCAACAACGCATGCTTCAAATGAATGCTGACCATATTACGGACGCGTGTTTATCAACCGATCAAATTATGACCAAATTGGGCTGGGAACCTCTCTATTTTAGAAGACAGGCGTTTGTTAATGAATGTATTGCAAATAGAGTTCCCAGATATCTTTTTAGCTATTTTAATGAGAGAAATTATGATATTCACCGTTTTAAGACTAGGAATAGTACCGACCTTATTATAGAAAAAGTTAACTTAGAATGAATGTACCAAGCGCGCCTTCTTCTACAAAGGTGCAGTCATTTTTAATGATTCCTTTTAACGTGACTTAATCTTAATGTAACTTTTTACTTCTTTTTTTTCAGAGTACCTGCATTGATAGTAGTTTTTTCCTTAAACCTGATGCAGCCATCCTGTGTAAATACGTTTTAATTATTATTATTATTATTATTCCCGTCGCATCAGCACTTTGTGTGGAGATCAAGGCGTTAGGGAAATAAACAGATTGTGACCAAACACACTTGTTATTTTCTCTTATTAAACATAACATATTAAAGAAATTGCAATTGCATGCTCTACGATTGTTCCATTCGAGTAATCAAGTTCGTTATATCTCAACATGCACGTATTTTATCGATTCAGTTATAATTAATGCAAAATACGGTTAGAAACAATGTACGGTTTAATAGAAACAGTGCCACTGTAATAAATCCATCAATTTAAAATTGAGTGTATTTTGAGAGTTGATACTGGTGAAAAGTCCATACGTGTCAGGTCTACAGTCAGTTCAAAAGTGAGAATAGTCCTTAAACTGAGCGCGCTGACTGTTCCCTTAATATAGTTTTTGTTAACTTTAATGGTGACGTTTGCAGTATTCTGCAAAAATACCTAGTATCTCTCTAATTTCTTTTACCCTCAAGAGGTAGCTTTTATTGAAACATGATGATTAAAATAAACCTCACTTGTTGCTGGTATAAACCACTAAAACCGTATGTCTTGAGTCAACCTCGTTCCCAGGGTATTTTCCCTGGTTTGGGCATGGGGCGCCCCACCCCCACGCCAGGGAAAAGACCCTGGGAACTAGGTTGGTCTTGAGTAGTATTGTAAGCACAAATTAATTTCCTGTTGACGGATTTGCTCCTCTGTAATCCTGAATCCTGGGGGCGCACGCGGTGGGGTAAAAACTGGGTGGGGGTGTGGTGCCCACTACCCAAATATTAAGACCAAAATCTACAATTTTCTGTATCCTATTTGACCAAAATGGCCAAAATCAATAACCTATTTCTGACCAAAGCGGCTAAAAAACCATACCCTACGATGCTGCACGTACCTACGTAACCCTTATAAGTGACACCCCTCCCTCCCTGGGTCTTGAATACCACTTCAGCTCTGCGGCAGACCAGTTTAGCAGGGTTTTATCTCATTGCACGAACGTACGAGTGGGACTGATGTTGCAAGAAAAAAAAGACGGGAAAATTGAACTTTCCTGACGAAGAAGAGGCGAGATGGCTTACAAGTCATTCTCTACGTTTATTGCATGAATCAAATAACGAAACCAGTGGAGGCCGCACAAGAATGGCAGAGTTGGAGGAGAGACAGCGTGGCGAAAAATGAAAAGCACTGCTCAATATATGGTCAGGAGGCGGGCATAAGTGGGCGACCTATGTTCCGCCAGGAACGAAGGGGATTGAGTGAGTGAGTGAGTGCGTGAGTGAGTGAGTTGGACGATAAAGCCAAGATACAGAATACAAAATAGCGAACGATACTGACACAACGGACTGTCTAATAAGAAACATTAATCTCTTCTGAATCCGCAAACAATGGGACGGTCTCGAGCCCCGTCCACCCTACCCCGGAGAAATTTGATTTCAGGTTTCACTCCGACTGAACGTATCAAATGTTTTGCGGGCCACACTGCGCCGGCTGCTAACGCAACTGTGGATCAGTAGTTACTTTGTTCTCACACCATAGCTCAGTCGAACATAACTATTTTTAAAGAGCAACTTAAAACCGGAAACACATAGTAATCGATAGCGTGTTTTTTCTTTGTTTGGTCTGACTTTAATAACGCGGCGAAAAACAGTAGGTAACAACAACAACAGAAACGGTATTTTTAAAGTCTAGAATCAAACGGCAGTCGGGGGGGGGGGGAGACTTGACAAGTATGACTGGAGGTATGGTCATCGTAAATTTCACTGAGAGGGAACAGACAAAATGCTCCAGAATCTATGTTTGTTAGTGCAACTGACATTGAGTTCAACCTATAAATGAACCGGGATGCGGTTAACCACAACAATGATTTGTTATGGTCAATCGACAACAATGCCTGGCATACACACCAGGCATCCCCGTCAGTCCCATCCCTACCCCCGCCTCCGCCGACGGGGAATTTTGAACACGTGGATATGATACGGTACACGTGGGGTTCTTAAAATCGCGCCTGGACGTATCCCAAAGAATGTTAACGTCACACATTAATCGTCTGAAGATCACGATTGTTTTAATTGTTTTGCGTGCTACGATGTCCCCGGAGGGCACGAGCTAAAGTCAGCTTAAAACTACAACAAACTGCCAACGAGGTAAATAACTAAAAAGAAAAGGCTTTTAAATTTGATTATGAGAACTGACTCTAGTGAAAGGGGAATAGGATAATTTAATGTCAATCTCAGGTGCGTGCGATGTAAGGAGGAAAGTTACACAGCGGATCTCAGGGGTGGCGAAGGAAACTCTCCGCAAAATTTAAATTCAGTCAAATTTCACGGTTGCCATCCTCAGCGCCATCTCGGAGTCTAGATTTCTTTCACAAGGCTGGCAAAGACTCCTACTTGTAGAAGAGACGAAAGTCTCGCCGTCTCACAATGTATTGGATTTTTAATTTGCCACCCTTGGTGTCACACCGACAACGAAATGTTTCAAATTTGATCAGTTGCACTGAGAGTAGACTGTGTTAGAGTACATTCTGCTCTTCTACATGTAAGCGTTCTTTGTTATACACAGAGCGATTCTTACAGAAATGCTGAAGTCTTGAATTATTTACATCTTGATGAGACGACACAATATAATCTTGATTTTCAAGTTCTCCAACGTTGTTGGAACAGCTCCAGTGCGGTACCACTTATTAGGAGGAGCAGAAGTTTTAACTTTGCGTTTGAATTTTTCAGGTTAAATAAAGGTGTTTAGGACTCCCAGAAATGTGCAACTGATAGCAATATTTATATATATTATTATGGTTTTAAATTAAAATATATTATACTACGAGGGAAGCTGTATTGGGGCGGAGTGGCGTAAAATTGACCTATTGGGTCAACATAGAGGTATCTCCTCACAAACAGATTTTCGTTTAATTCTTATAGAGGACTTCCGCTTTGAGTGAAGAACCGGCCTTTCAAGAGAACTGTGACCCTTGGCATAACAAATCTTTTTCGTCCAAGGTATGTGCGAGTCTCTTTTTTTTTCGGTACATTTTTTCCGGTAATGACGCTATCCTTAATTTCAACACTCTGTGAGGGCCCAGTACGGCCTCCGTCTCTGAGAACATTTGGTGAACCGGCCACGGAATAATCGAGTCGTCTGATCATGTGGAAAGAGAGGCACACAGGATAATCAGGAAAGCCGACATGGAATAGGTTTTGAAACTGGGACGAAAGAACATTAGGAGAAAACTCAGAGAATGCTAAAAAAAAAAATTCGATTTCTCCTTGCGCGCAATAGAATGATAACAATCTACAGGAATGACACCTTCAATCAACTTTAACGATTTGAGAAATATTAAGAGAAAATAGACAGAAACTATCTCCAGTTACAAGTAGTCTTTTCTATAACAAGAACACGCACTTTTTTTCCCTTAAACTCAGTCACTTCTACTATCGTGCTGACTGGCGCAAGGGGAGATTTCCTTGCGCTGGAATCATCAATTCTCGCATCATATTGTCGTTTCCTGATTTAACCAACCTTGGTTAACTGTGAGGTTTATTGTATATCCGTGTATTCCATGTCATAAACTATGATTGTTGAACTGCGAGATTAACTTGTAATCGGGTTTTAGAAATATTTTTACCTTTTGGTCCACAAATTAAAAGGATCTATTTCCCTCCATGGTGTGAAACTGTGTTAAGTATATTTTTACATGGAATTAAGAATGAAATAGTATGCTAAGTAGATCTGAAACAATAAACCGGTTATATCAGGAAATAGATATGCTAAAGCCTGCATCTAGTACCTGCCCACTTCAGCCCGTCACGCAATTTCCCCGCGTTGCATCGATCGCGAGGTCGTGGTAGAGGGCGCGTGGCCGCGAGCGACCTGGGGCCCGTTTCTCGAAGGTCCCGAAAAGTTTTCGCACCCGAAAAGCCATTGCAAAATCTCAAACCTTATGATTGTAGAGCTGTTTTATTCACGTATTCTCAGTATGTAAAGAGGTTCCCTTCATGCAAGAAGTTTCATGCGCACGACCTCTCTGTTTTGAGATACGGATTAACTAAAAATGTCAAAAATGGCTTTGCGGGCCCGAAACGTTTCCAGGGCTTTCGAGAAACGGGCCCCCGGACCGTCTGAGAATCAGGCTACGTCGTGGCCATCTCAACACTGATTACGTTCAAAGCCGGCAAGGCTGAAGGCAATTTGACCCTTGATGAGTCAGACGTTTATAAGAACCTTGAGACGTTAGATTGCGTGTTGGTGACATTCTCTTTGTTTGTGGGTGACAATAGTCAACTGGGACCCTAATGTTTTTTGTAAATAATTCATAATATTTATTTTTGATTATTTTCCTTTTAGGATATGGATAAAGCTACTAAGCAGGATTTAAAATATGGCTGGTTTTCCTTCAAGCCAAGATGGCTCCAGATTGTCAACAATTCTAAATGCTTCCTTTTCTTGGTCGTCATACTCGCCACTGTTCAAAGTAAGTTTGATTTGTTTGCATTTTAGTTTTCTTCCATTGAAATGTGTCATTTTAAAATGACGAATTGAGAAAGCATAGCCTTGCATTGGCTTTCGTTTTTCTCAACTATATAAGAATTGAATGAAATATAATAATTTTCTGTCAAGAGCAGTTCGAAGGGAGAAACCGACTATGAGCGAGGTGATAGGCGATTTGCATCATGGCGTCATTTGACTACTACTACGTACCAGCTACGTACTACCAGAATCCTTCACTTTCTCTTTTTCTTATGCTAATTGGGGCATTTGTCATTTAAATCCTACTGGGCTTCAGAGTCTAAATAATAGGGAAAAAACGAAAGAAAGTCCGCAAGTTGTAGTCAAATGACGACAATGTGCAAACACTATTGGTTTGCACTGCTTCCCGAATTTTTTGCTAGGCAAGAGTGCTTTGCACTTCTCACCATTCTCCTCGCGGCTATGCTGCTTCCGTCAGAGGCTCCACCGTTGAACTGTAAAAAAACAAAGCGATGAAATCGATGCGCGAAATCCTGCCAGCTACGCGCAGACTGAGAAGGATATTATGTTATTTAGTTCCGTTTACCCCTTTATTGTTTTCATTAAATCTCATCTGATTGGCATGTTCCGCATTTTGGTCTCCAGCTGTATCTGAAGGCTTAAAGATTCAACAATGTCTGCAAAAGACAAAACTAAAACAAAAATAAACAAACAAAATCAGACATAATATACCCCGTGATAATAATATACTTTGAGTAGGTTAAACACGTTGTCGCTTAACATCAAATCAATTTCTGAAGCCTCATCGTCATGTGCGCAACAGGCGCCAATCAGAATTCACGATTTCGCAAGCATGTAACCCGCACGGCATCGCTAAGCGCGGATAATCTTGATTTGCCAGTGAAATTGCTTTTTGTTTGTGTGTAAAACATATGTTAGCTTTGTTATTAGAGAACGCAGGACTTGAAACCAGTTTTTTATGGCCCTTTAGCCAACTGAAACTAACCACACACTTAAAATGATCATTAATCACAGACGCTTTTATTCAGTAGAGAAACATTTTGATTAGTTTAATTGTGACGTTTGACGATCCTTCCTGTCTTCGTAATTTGTCCGTTCACAAATGTGCTCAATTAGGACGGAAGAATGGCAGTGTATAGATCGTTTAGCGTAGTCATAGAAAATAACAGACTTGTTTGTTCGTTCCTTTTTTCCGAATTTAAACAGGTATGGTAGTAAGTGGAATGACAAGCATCAACCTTCCCGCACTGGAGAAACGGTTTCAACTGAGTAGCAAGGATCTCGGCCTCATTGCTGCTTCAAATGACATTTCCGCCATTCTACTTGTCTCCTTTGTTAGCTTTTATGGGGAATTTGGAAACAAGATTAAGTGGCTGGGATATGGAATGCTAATCACAGGTCAGTTTCAGTGATGCATGCGTTATTTGAGGACTAGTAATGTACCACAAAAACAATTAGATGATGACTTCGGTAGGCTTCATGTCACCCAGATGCACGCCCCGTCTCTCTTCTTCGTATTTCCGTATCTATATTATCATTTTTTTTTTTTTGGAAAATTTGACAGACTGACACGCCTCGCTCGTCAGATGACAAAGCTGTCCCTGCAGTAATGCGAACGAGCTAAAAAATAAATTAAAAAAAATAAAATAAAATAACAAAAATAACAAAACAAATACAATATTTAGAGAGGAAGCCACGTCAGCCTTAGCTGGCTTTCATGCAGGTCCTCTACCCTGGTCGAATTGGAATTTGGAGATGTTGGTTTTTGTTAAGGGAGGAAAACCCGAGCACCCAGGGAAAACCTTCGGAGCAAGGCGAGAACTAACAACAAACGCAAGCCACACATGGCACTGGGCCGGAAAAGAATGTCAAAAAATATCCAGAATTATCTGCAGCTCACAGTAGGTTTAGCGATTTGAGATCCAAGTATATTGCAATACTGGTTAATTGTAACCGTTAATAAACGTGCCTTGTGTTTCTTCTTTTCGCAGCAATGGGCTGTTTTGTGTTTTTTCTTCCTCACGTCTTGATCAGTCGATACCAGCCTGTTTTTGCCAATAGCACAATCAGTTCGCGAAGAGTCGAAGAATGTATCATCAGCCATGAAAACTCAACCAGCAAAACTTGTATCTCCGAATACGAGTCAAGCAACAGGTTCTATCTGTTTATTTTCTGCGCAGCTCAACTGCTCATGGGTGCAGGCACTACACCGCTGTATTCTCTTGCGCCTGCGTACATCGATGAGAATGTTCATCCTAAAGCATCCCCTATTTACCTTGGAATATTTTTCGCGGCTGCGATAGCAGGTCCTGGCCTTGGATTTGTAACTGGTGGGCCAATTCTGAACGAAATCTACATACACATAAACCAGGTTTGTAGATACTTGATTTTGTTTACACTTAATTTTTTCTGGGTGTTTTATTTTAACCTACTTCGTAGGTGAATATTGAGCTATGGGCGGCATAATGTTCTTTCAAAAGAGTGTTTTGTATTATACCATGTTTGATTTAGTCTCTTTGCGCTTCTCGCGAACGAGAGTCTATTAGAACGAGGGATTGTCCCTTTAAGATCGCATAGAAGTTTAGAAAGCCGAGAATTTCAACTTTCCTCAGCACGTTTGATGCGGCCGCTATGGTAGAGTATCTTGCTAAAGAACTCAACACATAGAAAATATAATCATTATGACGAGTTTCATTACTAGACTTTGCGCCACACAAGAATTATAGGAAGAAATTAACTCCACTTTTTCTTCTTTTTTCCTACTCTCTCCTCATCATTGTTTATCCTGGGATGGTCGCTTTTTCCTTATTTCAGTATTCGGTACATATTACCATGAACTTCCTTCATGCTCTGAAGTATAGTTATACTAAAAGATTCTTTTTTTTTTTTCGAAATGCAGCCTGAAGGAGCTAATTTAACTGCCAGGAGCCCTCAATGGATAGGAGCCTGGTGGCTAGGATATATTGTAGCTGGTGCGGTAATTTTTGTTAATGCTGTTTTAATTCTCGGGTTTCCTCGTGAATTACCCGGATCAAGAGAGATGCGTGAAAAGGCCATCGAGGAGGGACACTTACCGAAAAAAGACAACAAACTTAGAGGAAGATTGAGAGATATCATTCCAGCCACAATACAGCTCTTAAAGAATCCAGTCTTCATGTTCAACACTATGGCAGTAACAGCTGGATCGCTGTTTGGGGGAGGGGTGGGCGCGTTCATCGCCAAGTTTGCTCAGTTGAAGTTTGGTGTTAACCCAGGATTGGCCGGGATCACTCTGGGAGCTGTGTTTCTTGTTGGTGCTTCAGGTATGTAGCTAAATGATCTGGACTTCCTTTATACTCCACGGAAGCTTACTTGTTTCATCTCTACAACTATCCATTTTGCCTTTTATAGCCAGCTTTTCATTGAACGCTTTTGCGGAGGCGACTGGCTGTATTGCCATTTATACGTTTAGAAAATACCAACTTTTAATCAAGTAACCTGAAAAGACAACCCTTGAGGCGACGGCGTACTTTTACAGTCTTGGACATAGTGCTAGTCCCAGACATAGTAATTATCTTCAGGCAGCTTTACCATGTAAATTACATTGCTCAGGAACTGATAATGCAACGTCGTGGAGCAACAAGCCAAGCAAGCCAAGGTTAACTTGATTATGTGGAACACTCAATTCATGAACGCCTTTTCTGTTTGCCTTGGAAACGTTTCATTCTAGAACTTTATGTTTGGAAGTTCACCTGTGTACATGTTTGTGTCGTTCTTGCGACCTTGGCTTCCACCTCCCCTAGGTATCTATTTTTCAAGTTTTCAATTGGTTAATCTCTACTTGCCTTATCAAGCAGCTGCGTTCGTTTAGGATTTACATCTGAGTACTTTGTTTTGTATCACCTGATTTACCCTTGCTTTGAGCCCCGGGCTGCGCGTCGTATTTTCAACTCTCTCCTCGGTGTTTGGATATCCCGATGAAACACTGTGTCTCGTGTTTGATATATTACTTAAGGTCGGTTCTCACTAACGCACAAATATAAGCATAAGCAACACACACAGACGGATTAGAGTGCTGCTAATATCGCTCTTTGCTTAGAAATCATCATAACTCAAGGTGCTGATTATCAACATCATACTGCTTCTGCGTATGTCGGCTTATGCTTATGCTTATGCGCTGGTGTTAACAAACCCCCTGGATTGACCCCTGACTACCATCTCGATTCGTATCTCGAAATGATATTACTTCGTGTCGACCGAGGAAATCTGAGAATAAATTGGTTCTTCCACAGCCCCGCACCAATTATTTAAAGAGAAGCTTTTCCTATAGGGGTGCTATGTTGTGGAACAGTCTTTTTCATGAACTTCGATCTACAGTTTGTTTAAGCCAATTTAAACGTAAACGGCGTCATTAAAGCTTTGAATGACACACGGCACCCTTGAAAAGCAACTTTAGTAATAGGATGGGTTTTTATTCCTATACTACTATATTAATTATTAGTTACTTTAGCTATGATGGGCGACAAAAGTAGTTGAGAGACTTTTAGAAAATTACGCTTTTCGATATTAACCACTAATTCTATTTTATTTGCATCTAGCGTTAATTCTCTGATACCCCCGGCCCCTCAGTTCAATGTTGTGTAGGCGCTGTGGTCTGTGCAGTCTAAGAAATAGAAAAATCAACATTGTTTGCGGAGGAAGGGGGGCGGGGAAATGTTTCCAAGACGCTCGAAAATCGAATTTTACTGCCAAGTGTCTAAACACTTTTGTCGCCTATTGAAGGCAGACTTAGATATTATACCTTTAAATTGAGTTGAAGTCATTTTTAACGCGTATAAATAAAGCTATCAATCAATCAATCAATCAATCAATCATTCAATCAGTCAATCAATCAATCAGTCAATCAATCAGTCAATCAATCAGTCAATCAGTCAATCAATCAATCAATCAATCAATCAAGCAAGCAAGCAAGCATTTATTGATCGATGACCCTCTTGCAGGTGGTATTATCTTAAGTGGTGTAATCGTCAGAAGGTTCAATCTAAAGAAGTCCTGCCGACTGTCAGCAAAGTACTGCGTCATATTTCAATTTCTTACCTTATGGACACTAGCTACTTTTATGATTCCCGGATGTGATCAGGTGAATTTGGCGGGAGTCGTCAAACCTTATTCCAACAGGTGAGTGTTCTACGGGAGAAAGTCAGCCAGTAATAACCGGTGGCTATTAAGATAAACTGTCCTTTCCCATCGCAATCACAGGATAGGACAGAAATAGAGAGGAAATATAGTTCTGTCTAAGCGCTCTGCGAGTTTCCTGAGGCGACATACAGTCCAACCTCTCTACAACGGCCACCTTAGGAACAGACGTTTAGTGAGGACATACTTTTCTGAGAGGTTGTCATTGTTGAGAGATCAAAATAAGACCAAATCTCTCAACTGGTACGAAAATGTGTGGCCACTGTAGAGGGATAGCTACTGTGGGAAGGCGGCCGTTATTGGAGGATCGACTGTATTTTCCTCTCACAATCTTTATTACTTTCTCTCCGCCGTTGTCTCTCAGTCAATACCTTCCAGGCTCAATTTTAACTCGGCTGTCGCTTCTGGATCTTTTATTCTGTGCTAGCGACAGAGATTGGTGAATGCGAATAGCTATTGGAGAGATTTCGCCTGGTCAGATTCAATTCTAATAAGGTATAATGAAATAGTGAAATATTAGAAGAAGATGACCTCTACGGGTTATAAGTTTATCATTATTGGGGGCGCGGTGGCCTTGTAAGGGTGTGAATCTCGGTATAAAATCGTACCAAAAGGGTACGATTAGGCATAAGAAATTTGAAATGCTCCTGGTCCTGATAGAAACCTGAATTGAGTACTAGGACTTACAGGCCATTTGAATTCTCTATTAACCCTGGAACTGAGTAATTTCTTCTGTTTTTTGATACCCAGCCAGTTCCAGACACGAAGTCCGCTGGCCCCATGTAACACGAACTGCAGCTGCTCAATCGCAAACATAAACCCCGTATGCGGAGGAGACAAGTTGACTTATTTTTCGCCTTGTCATGCCGGGTGTTCAAAGGTCATAGGATCCAAGGTATGAGTATAATCTTGTAACACTTGTAAAGGTCCGTGAGCCTACCTCTAAGCTCTCAGAAGGCGGATTCCTATATGAAACTGATGAGTGTATACATTTTCACCCCTAAGAGATGCCAACTCCTTTTGATAAGCCGTTCCTTCTGGTTTTCTTTTTCAGTTTAATGCCCTATTAACATGTACATAACAACAGTGGACCGGTTTGTAAATTGTTCCACAAGTCTGTGTAACCTTAATATTAAAGTGACATTGTGACACATTTGTAAAATGAAGTTAAAATTAAAATAAGTTGTAAAATGATCGAGGACTGAACTTAGAGAAGGAATAGTACAGCAGACAGACGTATGGCCATTTTCAAATGAACGGTAAGACTCGTACCTTTTTCACCAGTCCCACACATAAAACTGCATGGCATTAAGTTACATTGATGTTAGCTTTTCAGGAGCGTAGCCAGAATTTTTCAAAGGGGGGTCACACTGTATCAAAAATGAGGGTACTCACCAGATTCTCGTGGCGTTTCGCCACCTGTTGTAGCTTGTTTGCTCAAAAAAGGCTTACAAATGGGTGGTCACAGGCTCTCCAGGACCCTCACTTAGCTACGCCCTTGCTTTCGCCGCAGCGGTCCCAGTTGTGCACATATCGGGGGTGACGAAAAGACGCCGGTCTAGAAAATCTATTTACAGGTTCAGCCCTGACGACCATAGTACGATTCATGTCTTATAAATTCCAAATGAAAACAATTTCTATTTATTCCGACTAATCGGGGTCGCGTTTTCAGTTTTGAATGTCGGACTGTCTAAAAAAAAAGACTACGGAATTTCCGAACGCCTCAGCTTTCCCGACACTCAATTGTCTCCTTTTCAGGCGTTCAACTGTAGCTGCATTGGTTCTGCAGTAAATGGAACTCAAGCTGCAGCCGAGAAAGGCTACTGTGACCGAGGGCCAGGGTGCAAGAATTTCACTTACTTCCTTGTGATCAGCTTTGCGTTGCTTTTGGCAGTTTTCCTGACAGGGATACCAAATAAAACAGTGGCTCTGCGGTAAGAAACTTGTGTTCAAATCCCCGGAGAGGCGGGGCTTCCCAAGTGAAAAGGTCGGTGGTGATCGACGAAAAATTTGAATTAAACCCCTAAAGGATACCAGACTGGGCATGGCTCAAGGCTCATGTTTTTTTCGAGTAGACTCTTGAAGCATCTTGAAGATTGTTCAAGGGCTAAAAATAGTGGCGTTTTGTCCTCAGCACCCTAAACTGGACAAAGTCCCTGATGTGCACCCCTAGTGAGACGACGAACGAATATGCCCTACCTTTTCACGCGGGAGTTCTTCCGGGGTTTAAAGCCCATGAGTGAAAAAGTATACTAGCATTCTGTTTACGCCGTTACTTGGTGGCGAATTGAAATAACAATAATCAACAAGGTGGTATAAGTTTTATTCCCGACAACACGAGGCAGCACGCCATCGATGGATAGTGTTTAAGAATGGTAACTGAATTGACAGCAATTCAGGGCCCGTCCACACTACGCCGAAGAAATTGAAAAACCAAGTTTTATTTCCTGCTTTCCTCGGTTAGGCCTCCCTTCCACACGAATCCGTCACGAAAACGGAGCTCGCCGGCTTTGCGTTTTAGTATAGACGAAAATCATTTTTAAAACGGAGCTTTGCGAAAACGATGAAGTCACGCGGATACTCATGTAATTTCTCTGGCCGATTTTTCCTCAAGCGCGAATCCAAGATAACCGTTGATTTTTCGTTTTCAAATTTCTCCTGCGCAGTGCCAACGCATGTTGCACGCAGTAACTGAGGATTGAACAGTTATTTAAGTATTCCATGTTCTCTCAACAGATGTGTACCAGACAATCAGAGATCCTATTCTCTTGGCTTCCAGTTCATTTTTCAACGCTCTCTCGGATTTCTGCCAGGGCCAGTTATGTTTGGTTGGATGTTTGATTCCCTTTGTCTTTTTTGGGGAGAAAGCTGTGGAAAGCGAGGCCGGTGTCAAATCTATAATATCTGGCGCTTGTCTTTGGGGATAACAGTGTTTGGGTCTGCTCTTAAAGGCAAGTGCAAGCTAATAAGAATACATGTATCACGATGCTTTGTTCCTATCAGATTCTTTAGCCGAAAGACTCATTTGTGATAAATAGACCTTTTCACCGATAAAGCGGCCATTTTGAATTCATTGTTTTAAATTGCTATTATGGGATGCTCAGGGGGCAAATTAGTATTTATTTGCCCCCTGAGCATACCATAATAGCTATTGGAAACAATGGAATTCAGAAGGCCGAAGTATCGGTAGACAGGTGTATTGATGATGTTAAATTTGCTATGCCAGCGAATGAAGCCTAGCTTGTTGTAACATAATCGCTGAATTTTGAGTAATTTACAAATCTACCTAATGCGTAAGTTAATTCCAGTTGTGTGTATCCCCCGGGCAATAGCTCGTGGGACATCAGGAGTAGGGCATTGGCTTTCCAGCCAATTACCGCGGGAGATTTAGCCATCTCGCTTTTTTCACCTTACAGCATTAGGACCAATTCACCCGCACTGATAGAACGTAGCGCTAAAACCCGGCAGGATTTCTCAGTCAGTCAAGGAGTACAACTTGCTTACCATTAAACCAGCGTGCCTATCTTACCTTACTGGAAAGCCGCTGATTTTTTATTAATGATGTGATCGTTTTAGTCTTTCTGTTTACTCAGCGGGAGTTAACCCATTTTTTTTTAAAGCACGCCCTCTCAGCATAACATTCTATGGGTCTCTATACATGACTGGAAATTGGCTCACAAAATTTTTATTTTTTGAATGTCCAAATCAAAGCTTTTATTCAATTTTTGTCAAATCATAACGTTAATTATTGCTCTTCTTCAACATTTTCAGGAATGGCTTTGGTATTCTATTTCCTTACTTTCTGGTTTTGTAAATCAAGCTACGAAGAAGAAAGCAAAACTGAAGAAGACAAGCCTAAAGAAACGGATGCAGTAAACGAAGAGTTGCTGTGCGCGGAATCCGTTCTTTGAAGCATGCAGCAGCTGCAGCTCAGTACCGCTGAGCTCATTTCATTTAAACCATTTCTATTATTCGTAGCCAGTTCTTAAGCTGTAGGCTCCGTTCACACTACGCCAAAGCAAATTTGAAAACGCAGCTTTGTTTCTACGGTTAGGCCTGACCTACCACCCTCACTAATCCGTCACGAAAACAGAGCTTTTCGAAAACACTCTTCAAACCGGAGGAATTTGAAGACGCCAGCTTTACGTTTTAGTGTGAACGATAACATTTTGAAAACGAAGCTTTTCGAAAACGATGACGTCACGATAATCATGTGATATCCCTGACCGACGAGTTTTCCTCAAACACAAATCCAAAATGGCCGGCCGGTGATTGTCGCGTTTTCAAATTTCTCCAGCGTAGTGTGGAGGGGCCTTACTTGTAAATAATTCTGTAATCGTTTTAGCTTGCCTCGATGGCTCAGGCCATCCAAACATTATTTTCATGGATGTAAAATTTTGATTGTACTACACGATGGAAACGCTTCACGACTTGATCCATTATAACATGAATACTTCATTATCACGATCAATTTTATTTTGGCCTGACGGAAACACTAAGTCAATCATTTTCCAATAGTGGGGTTCCACTATGTTACTATCACTGACTATCGGAATGTCCTTTGGTATTGAAAAAACTAAGTACCCTTTCCTGTTTGGTCTCCAGAAATCTGATTCGCTCACTTGATACATCGTACCTCTCGGAAAATTCTATTCAATTTTACTCTTGACAAGATCTTATGGCGTAGTCTTAGACTATAAGGAGTGTTCTTGGGTCTGGCCGTGACAACGCCTAGCCCGTTGACTACGGCGACGCCGAGGATGACGCCTCGTAGTTGATGATAAATGATTCTTCCCTAACTACCATCAACTGTCAAGAACTATCATGCGTGGTCAAACGGGAAAAACTGTCATCGACTATCATGGAGAATTTGAACAAGCTCAAAGTCAATGATAGTTATTGTTGATGATAGTCGATAATAGTGCATGACAATGGGTGGTCAAGCGGAAACGCGCGCTCTATATATCATTGGCCATTTATCAAAAATCATGCGCCGTTTGACCCAGGCTTAATGGAGCTCCCTCACGGTTTGAGCACCAAAAGTTCAGCCTCAATTGTTCAAGTTCGTCGCGTTTGTAATCCAGTAAATCTTCGCCATCCTTAACCATGCTAGTTTTCTTTATGGTACATTATTGTCTCTTTGGTGCTTTTTTGTCCTAGTAAACTACTATCTTCAGGTTATGTTCAATAATTAGAGATTATTTTGTACGTGACCAAAATAACTCAAAATAACGGAGCTCCTTTAAAGCTCAGTCCAGGCACCAGATTTCAGTTCCCAAGGATGGACGGTATGACGTCATCAATGGTCAGATTACCCAGTGGAAAACGTTTAGAGTCTATTATTTACCAGTATAATAGAACGGAACGGAATGAATTCGCCTTTAGTCTGATTAGTTAAATCGCAAACTGCAATCTTGATTTTTTTTGTTTTGATTGTATTTTTCCGTGTGGCAAATGTATATATTGAAAAGGGCTTACTTTCAACGTAGAGCATACGAAGTTGCTTACAATAAATTAGTGCGATCTACAAAGCAGTGAGTTTCTGATCGCTCATGTATTGATCAATTTCAATGGTAAAAGGTGGTTTAAAAACCGGTTTAAAATACTTTAATAAAAATTATTATTCTGTAACAGATATGGCCTTATTGTGCGGCACTGCCGTAATGACAAAGTTTATAATCCATCAAGTATTTTCGCTCGCGCGCGATTGGTCTAAACTCGTCACGTGACTGAATATTCCTGAATTTTCAAAACTGCGCGTGTTGCGAAAAATACTTGGAGGATAATAAACACAATGGCCTCTATTTGCTGCGAAAATATGCTAGGATATTTGTCCTTGGACATTATCTGCTCCTCAAAGCTCACATTTTTCCGAGAGCGTAGCTCGAGGAACTGACTGTTCGTTTCCGCGCCAGATGTTTATATAACCGACCCACATGAATCAGTGAAAATACCTTGTTTATACATTATGATAGTTTACGCTAGTACTATTAATTTAGTTCCTCTGAGCTCTACATACTAGGCATTCGGTCTGTCCACAAAATATCTGGACACAACATTGCCCTGTAGGAATCGGTACATCTTCAGCACTGTTGAGCCTCTTTGTGACATTCGAGGGTTGTACTGCTTCATTTGGTATTTCAATGTTTCAACATGCTAGAAGTCAGTTTGAGTTGACTAATCAGTTCCAGCATGAGCGTTAAATGAAGCCGGCTTGTTGAACACGGCATTGCTCTGGATGAATTTGTAGATCGTCCTTCCAACACTTGAGCCTCTTTGTGACATGTGTGGGTTGTACTGCTTCATTTGGTATTTCAATGTTTCAACATACTAGAAAGCATGCAGTCTGAGTTGACCAATGAGATCGAGCATGAGCTTGAATTGCCGCCTTGTTGGACACGACATTGCTCTGGATGAATCTGTACATCTTCCTTCCAGCACCGTTGGGCTTCTTTGTGACATGCGTGGGCTACACTGCTCCAAGCATTTCTTTTTTCAATGTTCGAACATGCTAGGAGGCAGTTTGAGTTGACTGATGTTCTAGCATGAGCGCCTTTGTTGCTGTTATTTCGCTGGACGAAGATCGCGAACTAATGAGGTGGATATCCGTCTGACCTCGTTGCTATCCTTTGGACACGCGTGAACTCGTAAAAATTTAGAATGTGCTTTGGAAATGAAGTATTACTTTGACTTTACAGTATGAACGAATCGAAACGCTGGAAAATAGCCAGCGCGAGAATTGGAAATAAGGACAAATGCAAGCACGGAGCGCGTCAGCGTGCCGTTAGGCCGACGGGAAGGATAACACACCTACCTTTTTCCTCTGCTGTGAACAGTCCTGGCTATTCTGATAATTCTTATCTCCAATCACGACTACTGTAGGTCCGATTACTGAAGAACTTATCAAACACAAACTGAATAACAAGAACACAGGGTTCAAAGGTAACCCAAGGTCAATGTATTGTTGCGCAACTAATTCTTCTGCAACTTTATTACTGATAATAATCTCATATAAAATTGGAGTAAGAACGTCTGCGTCACCAATATCCTCAGGTGTTTTTTAATTATTACTTCAGTTTGTTAATGTTACAAGAGAACTGCTACATAGAAAGAGAACGTGTTCTTCGCACCGTACACGTGGTCCGCCCTAAGTTCCTCTCCGCCACGCGAGCGAGTGTGTTTTGTTGATGCTGCAGCAAGTTCCTCTCCGCCATGCGAGCGAGTGTGTTTTATATATTGATGCTGCGTTCCAGTTGGATAAAAAGCAGCTCGACGATGAATTATTGTCCATTGACGGCAGCAGGTCAGATTAACAATTTATGCAAAACATCTCGCTACACTTGTGATTCAAACCGTTACACTTGGCCAAGAACCTTTCAAACGTCGACGCACGCAACACTCGCGCCAATGTGATCGACAATCATACAAAAGATCCTGCATGATTAATTATGTTCTGATCACAACCAAACGTCACATAAGTAATTACACACTTCACTCCAATATATGCACCGTCGGGTCTATTTCCTGGTGGCAGTTGGGCGGCTGACTGGAACACACAGAATAACTCGATTACCAAATGTAAGTCGACGGAATAACTTGTTACTTAGCTAAGAAATTTGCAAGCAATGTCAGCTAATCGGAATACACTTCACCGACGCAGTCTTCCCGTTACTAGTCAGGAACATTCTCAAGTTATAGCACATAGGGAACGACTACAAGAAGGAGACGGCAGTCTAAATAAAGATCAGCGTATTTCAAGCTTGGGAAGCTTTGATCATGAAAGCGACAGAAAGTACCTACTACCAAGTGTTGTTCTGCATCACAGAAACGAAGATATAGGTCGCTTAGAGGCACAAATTGCGGCAGAACAAGATGAAGCTCCTCCTCAGTGTTTGCCTGACGACATAACCCGGAAAAAAATGGAGGCAATGAAGATAGATCGTTACCAAGGGAAGCTACCGAAATTGAAGCCGGCAAACAAGCCAAATTATGGCATGTCTTATCAGGCTGGAAAAAAAGAGGCGACCAGGATTCCGAGGAAACGTGGCCGCAGCTTTAGTTGTTCAGCTTTAGTTGTTGACGAAACCAAACAATCTGTAAAGCTGCCTAACATATTTGAAACGCAAATGCCCAGCGCTAGACATTGCGTGTCAGCCAGCTACGCTGACATCAAGCATGTGCAGTATGCTAGCGACGGTATGAATAGATCAACTTTGAAAAAGCGCCGTAACCAGCGTTGCATTGGAATACAAGATACATTGCTTGATAAGGATCTACGATTGAGAGTCAAGGAATTCCTGCAAAAGCCACAACCGAAAGCTAGCACTCCAAGTCTTCGAACAAAGAAAATTCCCGATATTCAGCTCGAGGGGAAAGAAAAAAGGATTCATTATGACAGTAGCCTAAGGGAGCAGTTTAAAGGTGTTCCTATTAACACTAACTCATGTCCACTGATGAGTCATTTCAAGGACAGAAAATGGTACTATCAAGACAAAACTGGAAAATGTCGCTATCTGAGAGTTCCAGAATCGCCAGTCCCTCCTGTTTCGTTCGTATTCACTGAAGACTAGAACAGAATCAATTTTTATTATTAATTACTTTTTTTTTCAATGGTAACGATTTCAGTATTGGCTAGCTCAACTGCAAATTGACGTGTCTCCGTTATATACTGATGATATATCATCAGTTTAGTATAAATCTATCAGCGTTTTATCGTGTATGCCGTTCTCTGATTGGTTACGCTACTCACTATCTATTCTGCTGTAGATGGTGAGTAGCCTAGCAGTGTGCGGTTCCTAACAAACTGGCGATCGCATCCGTCTTTGCGTTTTCGAAGTGTCTGTGAAGAGGATTTATATAGAGTTTTGAACGACTGGTAGATGATACCAAAATCTCGTTTCTCGCTCTCGATTTCTATGCGTGATCAGTTGACGAGGGCTCCGCCCTCATCAACTATCACGCGATATAAATATCTCGAGCTAATATTGCTTACTTTGCTCAAACGATCTCAAATTACGACTCTGACGTCATCTATACATCTATAATCTACTAGTTACTCTGTAAATCTGGGCAAACTTTCGAGCAATTTGTGAATTGTCTCGCACTGGATTTAAGCGAATAACTGAATTTGTCACGTCTTTGGTAGACAACTTGCAAGAAACGTTGCTTTAGACTCTTAATACCACTTGGGCAGAGCATCAAAACTTTAATTTTGTTTAAAATATGTACAGCTTATTTTTAGATCATCAACGCTCGGCTGCTACCCGTACCACGAAACGAAAGCAATGCGACAAGTGTTATTATGACTTGCTGCAAATGAAATTTGTTCTTCAACTTGCTGTTGCAACAAAACTGCGAGACATCTTACATACAACGCCATGTTCATCCAAAGAAATCCGCCGTATCTGTTGTTTATTCTGTTTATTTTATAAATAGAACTGAAATGTAGATATTTTTGTTACAAACACGAACAGATCCTGATCTATGGCGGCACTTGGTTAGTCCACATTTTATTTCTGAACAATATATCGACCAATATTTTTAATAATGATGTTGTTCTGTTTCAGCTCCGTTCCGTTTTCGCACGAATGAGTTTGTTTTGGTTCTCAGTTGGGATAAACAGGAAACGTTATATTCGCTGTAATAATGGAAATATATCTAAACCTTTCATGATGCTAATAAAAATATGTATCAACGAATCACGACCGTAAGAATACTTTGCATTGCAGTACCAGTTTTCGTTCATTTGTTTTCGACCATATTTTTGTCAGAATAATTTAAAAGTCCTTGCTTATAGCGTGACTTTTTTTCCGTTTTGTGGTCACAAGTCATTTCCTCTGTTGTTTTGATAAATACGAGGTCACATGGTTCAATTTCCTATTCTTTGGACCTTCACTTGAAGTCTAAATTAACGATTATTCCCTACAAATGCTTGCGGCAAGCGCTTTGTTTTCTCGCGATATGAACAAAGAAAGAAATCGTCGATTTTCTGTAGAACAAACGAAGTTGCCGACAACGACAACGAGAACGTTTAATATCGTTGCGGAACATGATTCAAGTCCAGATCATTTGTTGTTTGTTGACCGATTTAATTTGCAAACACGATCTACAGAAGACAAGGTCAGGGACGGAGAACAGCCATCAAAAGGACTGACAGTGGACCTCAATGACGAGGCAGTCACTTCACTCGACCAAGAAGTGTGCCGCCCGGAATTCTCGCACTTCTCTGAGGAAAACAAGAAAGCATCTGAGCCGATAACAAAACAGCCTCAAGCTTTCTTCGTCAAAAGATCAGATCAAAGTCCCCGCGGTGATATTGGCAGATGCGTAAAAAGGCATCGGTCGCCTCAAGAAAGCAGTTTGGCAAAACAGAGCCAATTTGATACCAATCCGTCTTCAATTTCTGGCCGGCGGATGTCATCCCCTGGAAAACTTCTGAACATTCCTTCAAACAAGCAAAATTCTGCCTCTACAAGGATCGTAACGGCATTCGAAAGGAAAACAAACCGGTTTATCACGCAAGTAAATCACTCATTGCACGCCAAAAAGGAATCACGCGATGATTTGCCACAAATTACCACCTCTCTCGAAACACTGACAACAGAAGAGTATTCCAAACGAAGCAAATCTTCAGAAGACGTGCGTAAAGATGGGAAAAAGACGAGTGAATGGTCGTCACAAAGTTTCTGTTCAGACAAGTCGACAGATCGAAGTCAAAGACTTCTTGAATCTAAGATAATTCCGGAAAGCCGTCTGACCCCACCGAGAACTTTGGTAACCGAAGAGGCTTCTGAGATTCTGAGCGAGAAGCTGAGCAAAACCAAGATAATCCTACAATCCAGTAGACTTGATGATGCTAAAGCAAAAAATACCTCTATTGCAGGACCTGCCGATTTCCAGATTGATAGTGATGACTTACCAGGGAAAACGAAAGTCAAGGAAAACAAGCGCATTAACGATAGAAAGATCTCTCTTGAATATCCCCGTGCCTCTTCTACCAGCGAAAGAATGAAACGGCACCAATCAAAGAAGGTGTCAATGAGCGCTCAGATGAAGGTAGATCACAGACCGAGGAGAAAAACTCCTTTTCGGATGGATGGCACGACTGCCAGTGGTCAGCAGGATTCAGCTACGAACCCGGAACATGATTTAGACCTGAAAGTCAAGGATTTCTTGCGAAAGCACCAGCCAAAGGCAAGTCCAAGAACGTTGAAAGTGAAAGCGGTCAAGAAAAAAGCCGCTTTCCCTCCGAGCAAATTACGCGAACGAAGAAGCCAAGAAAGAATCACTGTTAACACAGATACATGTCCCAGTACCAATCTTGTGAATCAGGATCGATCCTGGTATTATCAAGATAGGAGAGGCAAATGTCGGTATCTGAGAGTTCCTGAATCACCTACTCCACCCATAGAATGGGTGTTTCAAAGAACATCGTCCCCTTGAGTTCTCAAAGCGATCATCTCATGTATGTTTTCACTATATTATTTTCTTCTAACATTTACATGGTTTAATTGCTGCGGAGCGAGCGTAGCGAGCGAGCAACAACATAATCAGGATTTAAGAAGAATATATAGAAGGGGGTACGAATTCTCGAATTCATCACTTTTTACCAAAATGCATTGCAGTTAACCAGACTGCACTGCGCCACTTTTACTGGAGTGCATTGCGCCACGAACAACACGAGGATGTCATA